AGGGTCGTACCGCTCCACCGAGCTGAGGGCGCTGTCGTCGTCGTTCAAGCCGCCCACCGCATACAGCTTGCCGTCGAGCACCGCGACGGCGGCAGCGTCCCGCTCCACCGCCGTCGGCGCCACCGCCTCCCACGCATCCAGCGCCGGGTCGTACCGCTCCACCGAGCTGAGGGGGCCGTCGTCGTCGTTGTAGCCTCCCACAGCGTACAGCTTGCCGTCGAGCACCGCCACGGCGTGACCCTCGTGTGGCGTTGCCATCGGCGCCACCTCCTCCCACCCGTTCGTAGCAAAGTCGTACCGCTCCACCAGGTTGGAAGTTGCGCCGTCGGCCTCATCCTGGCCGCCCGCCGCGTAGAGCTTGCCATTGAGCATCGCCATGCGCGCCCTCAGGCGCCCCGACGGCATCGGCGCCGCAGCCTCCTCCTCCCACTCGTTCGTTGACGGGTCGTACCACTCCAGCGAGTTGATGCGCTCGTCGTTGCTGTCGTGGCCGCCGAACACGAGCAGGCGCTGCCTCTCGCGCCTCTTCAGCGTCTCCTTCCAGCCGCGGCGCCACGCGTGGCACGTCCCCTTGACGGCGTGCTCCTTGGTCGGCAGCTGGGCGAGGATGTGCGGGGCGAGGTCCGGCGAGAGGAGGACCTCGGAGAGGACCCACTCGGGCTGCTCCACGAGCCGAGCGGCGTGCTCCTCCGCCACGCGCAGCGCGGCGTCGCTCGCGCCCGCCTGCGCCTCGATGATGGCGCACAGCTGCTCTGGCGAGAGGCCCGCGACGCGGGCGCCGATGCGGTGGGAGGCCATCGGCCGGCGATTTTCTTTTTTAGGACGCCGCCCTTTTAGTGTTGGCGCCTTCCTATCTATCTATCAAAATCTTTCTTCCTCCGTTAAAACGGTTTTCGCTTTCTTATTGTAGTCCTCGACGAGAAGAAGCGAACGGGGGGGGGGGGGAGGCTCGGGGGGGGCTTCTCTGCATGGCTCGAGCATCCCACTCCCAGGATGCTCTCCGGCATCTCTAATCTCTTCGTTGAAAAAAACCATCTATAGATATTCGGAGGACGTCGGGGGGACCCCTCCTCTGGCGGCACACACCCCACATGCGCGCGTGACAGCCGCGGGACACACTCTCACCGCGAGCGACGAGCGGCACCGCTACACTGCATTTGTAGGCGTCCGGCCCCTCGGCACCCTGAAGACACATACCACACGCCCTTCCCGACCCTCCGAGTTAGTTGACGAGAAGACCACCCCCGGTGGCCTTGGAGACGTTGGAGGGGGCGGCTGCTGCCGCCGCCGCCTCCTCCGCCGCCGCCGCGACCGATGGTTCGCCTGCGCTGCCGGCGAAGCGAGCCTCGCGGCTCTCCCGCTGCTGCGCGCTCATCCAGCCGCTGATTGCGGTCGGATCCGACCGGACGGTTGGGCGGCCGACCACGCGCAAGCTGCAGACGGATCGCAGCTTGTCCAGAGACCACGACGAGCAGCCGCGCTCTGCGAGACACAAGCCTGTGGCGGGCGGCACGGCCGCACTCAGCGGCGCGGCCGCAGGCGGGCGGCGCACCGAGACCGGGCGGGCGGGCGGGCAGGGCGGCGGTGGCGGAGTCCTCGGGCGTCTCTACTCGGGTGCTGTCGCTCACCCTCGCACTCGCTTGCGCCGAGAATGTCGAGGAAGAGCACCACGTCGCCAAACACGCTCACCGAGTCGTTGTACTTGGCGAGCTCCTCTGCCGACGGCTCGCGCGGCTGTTGCGCCGACCACAACCCGTCGCCGTCCGGATCAGGAACGATGCCCTCGCCGTCGCCGTCGCCCTCGTCGCCGTGGTCAAACTCGGGAGGCGGACGAGTCGGCCGTCGAGGAAACTCGTCAAAAGTCCCCCGTTGTCCGCCGTCTGCCGCCGTCCCGCGTTTCATATTGGGTCGTCCTGGTTGCCTAGACCGCCCTCCGTCTCGGTTTGCCAGCCTTCCCGTTTGACGGTCGCCCGAATACCGGCTTTCCCCTTTGGTTCTTGGTAGGTGAAATCCCCGTCGC